ATTTGTCTATGCTAAGGATATAAAAGTGTAGATATCTCATTTTTCAATACAATGTGATATGTGACGACTCATCTACCAAAATGTGGGTCATTTAAGTGATTATGGTTTGGTAGAAATTTACTCATGCTGTCTATTTTCCTGTTGCATAAAAATGTTGCATTTGCAAAACTTCTAGCAAAACTTATTTATTAAGGGTCCATCACTCGACCAATCAAGTCTATATGACTTGTTACTGCTAGATAGTTCTCATCAAAAGTACTTGATTATTGCATATTTTTCGAGATCGATGAAAAACATCTTGCATCCCATGTGAAAAAAAAATAACTCAGTAAAAATCACATCTAAAAGAATGTTGATGGTGAATATTATATCTATTATGTGCGCACTATTTTTTTTATGGGATTATGCAATATGCAAGCACTCTTACACATTTGTTTTTTTAAAATCGATACTAGACAACCACGTTTATGTATACCAGTTGGTGACTGGATATTAGCCTGAGATGTTCTACTTATGAATATGTGGTTGTTAAATAGTTGTGCCTATTGCGTCTCCCACAACGCACTATAATCGGTTTTAAAAGAAAAATGATGTTTATGTTGGATATGAATCCCCAACAATATTCCGCTACTAGCCTTAACAAATAATGTGTACACCGCTTTGCGGGATATGACTTTGATGAGACAATTGATTTTCATGTCATTAGGGGAGATTAGAGAAAGAACTCTCTAATTGAATGACAAAATCATTATGATGGTACATCACTACTTTGTCTCAATGATAAATCTTAGACTACAAAATGTAAAATTGAAGTTAAAGTGGTATCATAAATGATTTAAGTAATCAGATTATACACACTAGCTGCAAACATATTATAAGGCTTGAATTTAAATTAAAAGAAACAATGCTAAAGGAAGAAGCATTGCAATCACAAGCAGTGGGGTTGTGGTTGAGGCCGTGGCTCTCTAAAGGAATAGAGGGAAGCCACATGGTTCGATTAATTATCCACCCCAAGTAGTAGAGGGTAGATAAGGCACAAACCAATATACTCGTCATCATATGAATTCCTCTCATGAGATTATCTCTGATTAAACATGTCCATGAATTTATAATGGGGGACGCCCCGAAGTTTAAATGATTTCAGAGAACTAAAATCTCAATGTTAATGAGAGTGTGTATGAGTCGAATGATAGACCTTACACTTATACTGAAGGTATATTTATACAGTTGCTCAAAGGAACATAGAGCACGATGATATCGAACCATACTCTATTGCAATATGAAAGCAATGAGAATATTGGCCTAAATGTGTACAAGTGATCCAGGTATAAATTTAATATTTGACAAAGAGACAGGTATTTGGTATGATAGTGCTAATCAACCAAGTGTAAAGCCGGTAGGACATGAAATAATTCTTTGTTCGAAAGCGTACTGAGATAATGAGGTCCTAATTATTCTCACAACGCCCTGGATTCAAATATTAAAAGTTATACCTCTCTATTTTGAACACAAAAATGTTCAACTACTTAATCTATAAGTAGACTCCAAAGTAATGAAGACGCAGCTAAAGATTATGGACATTAAATGTCTCAATAGAATTTCATTAAATAGATGTATATGAAGTCTTTGTTATATTTTTATTATCTTTAATCAAGTGGTTTTAAATTACATTGTAGATTTACATTGAAACGTTCACATTTGGATTAAATCAATCCAGAGGAGGGTGACATACCCGTCTAAGTGACCACTTGACTGAAAAGGGATAGAAAAAGATAGATTATATTTTCCCTCCAAGTATCATTATATGTCAAAGATATAGACATAGTATGTACTCATATTAAAGAAAATGAGAAATCTTAGATACTTGGAAGTCATAATTGAGATAAAGGATCTTGGGAAACTCAGGTTGTTTTGAAAACACCGAGTTGGTTGAATAATAATTCACCGGTTGCATATATCCAAAAAGGTTCTCAGGCAAATTAGCATGGATAAATGTAAATCGTTAGCACTCCCATGATTGGTCGAAATATGGATGTTAGAAAATATATCCATCATTGGAAAGTTATTGGGAGAAGAAACTCCCTATAAAAGTGCAATATGCGCATGATTGTACTTTGACAAACACATTCGACCAAATAATACATTCTCAAGAACGTGTTAGCTGAAAATAACACAAGACCAATACATAGTATATCATCATTGAAATAGTATCAAGAATGTACTTTGATATCTATATGAAACAATTGGTATAATCTTTATTCATCCCTTATAAATTAATTAAATGATTGATGATAATAATATTTCTAAAGGAATTGGAAATGTTAAAAGTATCACCCTAACACAAAGTAACGTGATTTGAGTTTTACAGATGATGGATATCCCCTTACCTCATTGATACCCTTACCTCATTGATACTTTCTTATATGAGGATATATTTACCATGAAATAAACCAATATATTATATACGTAATACCTTGATAAAAGTATATATCAAGTACATATCGAATTTTTATTGATGTGTTGCATTTAGGGGGGAGTCGTTACATACTTATTTATCATCAGTTATATTGGTGCGTTATACTTATCTATCTACAACTCAGCACAAGGGGGAGTGTTGAAGGAAATTCTTTATAGTGTGCTATCGTGTATATAGAATATGTATTAGGATCATTCTATGTAAACTATGTATTATATGGGCCCATTGGCCCGTCTCTGTAAACCCTAATATCTCCCTATTTATAGGGCCTTTGATAATGAAAGTATACACACAATTCTCCCTACAACAAAATAATTATAATCGCTCAAATATTCACAAATATGATATGCGACAAATTTAATGGGACGAATGAAAAATGTAAAATGGGACAAAGATAGGGGACCTAGAAAATGTTAATAAAAATATAGTCTAAATTTTATTTCTATGTAATTCAATAGATTCAATTAATTGAGTCACTCAGAGTTTGATAAATTTCCATACATTTAGCCGATAAAATCAATTTTAGTGTTATCAAACGAGCTCTAATCATAATGCAAAGCAATTCGTTCTTAATTACTAATATCTTTTTTTACGGAGCAATAACTTTTTTTCAAATTACTAGAGGAGGAGCGCTCATGAGGAACCAATACGGGAAGCTTATCTTCGCGCTACAATTTGAACAAAAGGCATCGTCAGTGTTCGAAGCTGAACTTCGAGCTATTCATACAACAACTAAATGGACTTTGGAACATGGATATCTGGCATTCTCAGTAGAATCAGATTCTTTGTTGTATCTTTAGTAAAAGGCGAAAGAATAGTTCGCTATGTGTACATCGCTGGATATCTTTGTTGTATCAACATGATTAAAAGAGGCCACCCCAACTACAGATCGAAGGCAGAGCTTCAAAGATTTTCTACCGAACATGGCATCAGCTACTCCCACATCTATGGAGAGTGCAATGAACCGGCCCATCTACTGGCCCACACCCCCTCTCATATGGGCAAAATAAATGTTCTTCAAACCGTTTTTAATTTACCTATTGCTATTAGGATTGCTATTTTAAGTGACTCCTCAATATTACCCCATCTTCGTTTCTAAATTTTCTCTGAGCGGGTCTTGGCTTCGTCCCCCCCCCCCCCCCGCTCTTCTCTAAAATCCCATTTTTCTCTAATAAATTTCACTTTCTTAAATATATATATATATATATATATATATATATATATATATATATATATATATATATATATATATATATATATATATAGGGAGCGGATAAGGTGAGAAGTACTTTTAGGCTGAGAATTGCGAAGTTAACTTATAGACTGAAAACATAAACTTTTAACCAATAAATCATAACTTATAGACCTCTCGAAATAATTACAAACATGCCACCGCAAAAATATAAGTCTGGAGACCTTGGAAATGTTTGGACGCGGTGGCATTTTCGTAATTACAATGGAGAGCTTTAAAAGTTATGATTTATTGGTTATAAGTTCGTATATTCAGTCTATAAGTTTGCTGCGTTGTAAGATTAGATGCAAATCCAAGGGATGACATTACTTCTCACTTCTCATTTTAAGGGGAACTTCTCACCTGATCTTCTCTCTCTCTCTCTCTCTCTCTCTCTCTCTCTCTCTCTCTCTATATATATATATATATATATATATATATATATATATATATATATATATATATATATATATATATATATATATATATATATATATAATAAAGATCAAATGAGAACAATGCTTAACGTGAGAACATCACACTTACCCCAACATGTTGCACAACGAAACTTGTATATTGCACATTTTCACATTTTCACAATATTTACCAAAATGCCACCGTGTTTATTTAATATAGCTTAATTCGGGCAAATTGAAAATGTGCAACAGAATGGCTTCATTGTGCATCACATTGATTTAAATGTGAGTGTTCTGACGTTCTCACGTTAAACATCGTTCTAGTGAGAACGATGTGTGTGTGTGTGTGTCTATATATATATATATATATATATATATATATATATATATATATATATATATATATATATATGGGATGGTTCAAATAAAAAGTGGTCTTAACGTGCAAAGTGTAAAGTTTGCACTTTTTCATTTTTGGCTTGCACTTTTTCTTGCTTTCGTTGCAATTTTTCGCAGGAGCTCAAAAAAATTGGTTTATTTACAAAACTGCCACCGTCATTTTGGCCGAATTTGGCCAAAATCAAAATGGCCAAAAAGTGCAACGCAAACAAGAAAAAGTGCAAGCGAAACATGAAAAAGTGAAAACTTTGCACTTTGCACGGGAAGACCACTTTTCATTTGAACTCTTCCCTATATATATATATATGTGTGTGTGTGTGTGTGTGTATGTATGTATATATATATGTGTGTGTGTGTGCGTGTGTGTATACCTATATATATGTGTGTTTGTCCCTTTTTATACGATTTACAGCAATAGAGTTTGATATAACAAAGATAGAGAAGCAGAAAGATATACACTCAGATCTCTTAAACTCGTCTTTGATATATCGTGCACTTTACAAACACAAGGATGAGCGCTAAGGCTGATAAGATCAATATGCAAAGTTAACGCAAACCTAAACCTAAAGCGCCTTTTTATATGCGCATGTATATAGGTTTGCGTAAAGGCTTTCAGCCTGATATGGGCCTGACACATTGGCCCCATATCTTTTATACCCTAATAAATACAAACATTAAATACAAAGGATATAATAAAAGCTAATCTAATACAAGACATATGACAAGCTTGATTCACAATAAAATGATCTTCAACAATCTCCCCCTTTGTGATCAAGTGCCGTCTTGCTTTTATTTCTGAGCTCTGAAGTAGTGTTTCCTGAAGTTTAGCGCATGCTCATATGATCTCAATGACCTTCTCTTGTCGAGTTGCTTGATGATAGGCTTCAAAATAGTTTCAACTCTGTCGCATTCTCTCAGCTCTTCATCAGTGGCTTCAGCAAGTCTTTGATCAATATCTTCTTTGATAGGCAGTAGCTTTTGTTGAATTACTTTTAAAGTTCCATCACAATATTTGTGTATGTCCTCTACCCACATCAGGCGCTTTTGCTGTTGATGGTTGAGATATAGAATTGAGGGTGGATCCGTAAAGATGTGGTAGGGTTCATATTCCTCAAGTTCTTCTCCATACAAAGTCGGCCTAGTGAGATTTGCCTTTCGAACGTTGTTCTCAAGAGCCATTTGTAGGTCATGAGCAGCATGGAATCTGATCTGTCTGAGCATAAAGCGCTTAATTGCCTCAAATCCTTCTCTGTAGACCTTGTTGTGATTTAACGGAAGAAATCTGCAGACCATGAACATCTGGTAGATGTCATCCATGTTCATCATAATGAAGTCGTTTTCCTGACATATTAATTCACTTGAATCAGTGCGTTGAACTCTGAAGCTGTAGAAAGGTACTGAGTGGTGGTCTTCTTTATGTATGTCGAGAGAAGCATGGATTGGATGAATGCTAGACCTCATGTCTTGCTCAAGAATTTGTCGCTGCTTACCTGATGATCTATGATGTAGCATGTGCAGATGTCCACCTACTAATTTGCCCTTCAGGTGTGTGAGGCCACGGATTTTTAGTTCATTTAGCTGCTTAAGTTTGTCTGGTTTTCTCCAGATTCCCTTTCTGATTTCCTCTTGAAAGGGGGCATTGATTCGTAGGTTCTCCCAAGGCTTCGCCGTTGTTGGCATTTGACCTGCTGATTGTCGAATAAGCGATTCAAGTTCCTTGGGAGTTTTCTTGTAGTCTTCCCCTTTCTTGAGTTCCTCTTCATCAAGGCGTATTATGTCTTCAGCACACTTTGCAAGCAATTCACGAAGCCACCAGTTCCGTTGCATGTCCTCACTTTCAGCTTCACACCTAAGGTCATCCCACTCAGTCCATTTCTTTGGCCATTTGTCATGTATCACTGCATCCTCTAGCGCGTCATGCATGTCTTGGTTTGGAGGAATGTATGGAGCTCTTGGCTGCTGTCGGAGCGGTGATGTTGCTTGAGAGGCACTACCGGGTTCACTCGGATTGCCCGTTGTCATCGGCGTTGAACTAAGTTCTGGCTGATGGCCTGACTTAGTGGATGTATCGGAGATAGCACCGTCAGGACTTCCATCCCCTCCTCGGACAGTATCTCTTGGAGATAAGCCTCAAGATGTTGACATCAGTTTTGAACATGGTTCTGACTGATGGCCTGTACTTGGTGATGTACCGGAGGTAACATCGACAGGACTTCCATCCCCTCCACGGACGATATCTTTTTGAGATAAGCCTCGGGATGTTTCAGCTAGCTCGACCGTGCTAGTTAGTTTGGCTTGGTTGTGGCTTGTAGTGGGTGGCTGTTGGTTGGTTGGAGATGGAGGTGAAGGTTGAGTTGGTTGCGGGATGTGGCTAGAAGAGGCACCTTGCTCAAGTGTCTGGGGCCGCTTGTTCTCCCCCTCATGAGGTTCCGAATCGTCGGAGTCCTCATGGGAACGTTTGTGGCCCCGGGGACTGTCACGACAAGTGTTCGGTGGGGGGCGGTTATGTTTGTAGAAGACCGCCATCAGGTCCTTTTCAAAGGGGGTAAGGGTACAGGTTTCAGAAGAGCAAAGGCGGAGGAAAAGGATATCGGCTAGTTCGGTTGTAGGTATGGAATAAGGATTGGGATAGGGTGTGGTCGACGTAGGGGTAGATACTAGCTGTGTATCTTGGGTTCCTCGAGTGGGTGAAAATGTCGGTAGTTGGTGGGTGGATTTGGTAGAGAAAGCGTGGGAAGGTAACGGTTGGGTATGAGGGGGTAATGGGTGTGGTTCGGGCTGGCTATGTTCACTATGCAACGCTGGGGTGGATTTGGATTCATGTGCCCAAGCGGTGAATGCTTCGCGCACCCATGGTTTAATGGTGGAATCCATAAAGCGCTGCCTAAGAACGGTAACGTCTTCGTGGTTGAGGGTGCCAGTTACAGGGGTCGTAACTGTTGTCACAGCATCAGTGAAGACAACTGATGCGTGGCCTGCGTTCAATGATGGAATCATTGTGGGAATAGCAGGACTTCCGACCGTCATAGTTTGCACTCTGGTCGTTGTATTAAGGGTGGGTGCACCTGTTTGTGCAGTGAATAGTGTAGGTATCCTAGAAAAGGAAGAAAATGTAGGAAATGTGATACCTAGACTCGGTGTGCGTGAAGGAGGGGTTGTGGCCTCGGGCGATTGGCCAACCGTGCGCTCAACTGATTCAGAAGGAACCGGAGAGGGGGGTGAATCCTTTGATTGTGAAACATTAGCCTGTTGAGAGGCTAACGAGTGGCTATTGGAGGGCGGTGCATGCGCAGTTGAGCCAGATGCTGCGGCTTCTACTCGGGAACCGAAAAGATCGGCTCCTGTGCTTAAGGATTCGGCTCGGCTTATTCTGACAAAGGAGTCACAGCCAGGAAAGATATCTGCATCTGCTTCATCTGTTAGGCTCTTCTTGGCGCGGGGTTGAGGTTTGGGCTTTGATGATTTGTCATTTTTAATTTTTGCCCGTTTCTCCCGGATGATGTGTAATACCCGAGATTAATTTAAGAGGATTAATAATACTACTCATACCAACAGAGGTGCATCTCCTTTTAAGGGAGCTCATCCCCCAAGAACTCCAAAGTTAAGCGTGCTTGCACAGGAGTAGTCTTGGGATGGGTGACCCCTTGGGAAGTTTCTCAGGGCGCGCATGAGTGAGGACAAAGTGCGCGGTAAAGGCTCGTGGTGGTTTGTGGGGACAGTACTAGAGGTCAGAAGTAACTACCTCGGGGCCTACGGGGCCGGGGTGTTACAGGTGGTATCAGAGCAACCCTGCGACAGTGTGCTGACCCGTTAGATATCGGGCGGGCACTTAGCGGGGCAAGATTCTGGGGTTTTATTGAGATTGGTTTAAGGGCGCGACGAGGACGTTGCGATCCTAAGTGGGGGTGATTGTAATACCCGAGATTAATTTAAGAGGATTAATAATACTACTCATACCAACAGAGGTGCATCTCCTTTTAAGGGAGCTCATCCCCCAAGAACTCCAAAGTTAAGCGTGCTTGCACAGGAGTAGTCTTGGGATGGGTGACCCCCTGGGAAGTTTCTCAGGGCGCGCATGAGTGAGGACAAAGTGCGCGGTAAAGGCTCGTGGTGGTTTGTGGGGACAGTACTAGAGGTCAGAAGTAACTACCTCGGGGCCTACGGGGCCGGGGTGTTACATGATGACATCCTGATCATTTTTTATCACATGCGCTGTTTCATCATAATCAGGCTTAGAGCTGCAAATTTCTCTGTGCACACTCTTTGATTTTCGTACGTCCTTGATTGTGAACGTCTTTGAACGGCCGACTAGTACGGTTGCTGCGTCTTCAGCAGTTATCTTCTTGGGAGACTCGGCAGGCAACTTACGCTTTCTGATCAAGGCATAAGTGTGATCAACATCTTCGATGTCATCATCGTCATCATTATCATCATGATCGTCATCGCTTTGTGCGGCCACGCTATCGGATGCCTCATCGTCAGTCTTATTGGAGGCCGGACTTGACGATTCATCGGCAGGCTCCTCAGCGATTGTCTTTGCGCCCTCAGCCGTCTGAGTCCTCTTGAAAGAGTCGTCAGACTTTCCTTCACTGGGCAAACAGGCCATTGTTTTCCGTGGCTTCTGAGCTCTCTTTGGACCCTTACTTTCACTCGGCTTAGTCCCTGGGGTAGGTCCAGCTGGGATTTGTTGAACCATAGGGACTGTTCTCTGACTGTCCTCTCTGTACTTGATAACTGCTGGATTCCTTGGATTTGCCAGGTCAAGCAGATAGTCTGGAATGGCCATCCCAACGGTGTCGTGCTTGAAGCTTTTGAAGTACTGAATTTTGGGGCTATGAACTGCTCCTCATCTTGTCGTTGCGGGATTCCTTGATTTTCGGTCATTTAGTCATGTATGATGAGGGCCAACCATCTAGCGTAAGGAATTGTCATGCCAGCTTTATTGTTCTCTTTTTCCTTGACTTGGTCCATAAGCTCTGTCCAGAAGAGTTGAGCCATGTCATAATTTTTGTTGAAGGCGATCCCATGGAAGATTTGCAGAATTTGCTGGTTGCATTTGTCATGGCCGGCGTGCTTTGGAGATAGGCATTTGTTGACTAGGCCAAACAGAGTCTTCCATGGGTAAGGCAGATTCATTAGTTTGAAGTTTGACATCATCGGCAGAGGTGCATCATAGCCCAGAGTCTTCATTCCTTCGATCAGTTCGTCCCGTGATGGAAGTGGATCATACTTGGTGTGTACCGGCAGTTCCAAGGTTGTTCTCAGTGTAGATGGAGTTAGGACCAGCCTCCTGTTGTGCAGCGTAGCAAGAATTTTGGATTTGTCTTTCTGAGAGGGCGTGTGCATGGTATTCCAGAATTGTTGAAGGTACACCATCGGGACTGATGTGGATTTTGTCAGTGCCAGCCATATATAGTGCCCTCTGAGGATGACAGGGATGACAGGATCTGGGCACTTGAACAACCTATGGTCGAGCTGATAATTGTTGTCCTGCAGTCGGATCCATTGTTCTTCGGGAAATAGCTGAGTGTGGGGGGCTTCGAACTGCTCTGTCCCTGACATAATGAACTGGAAAAAAAGCAGTGATCACAAAACATATCCTTTAAAAGGTTTGAGTTTGAGGGAGATTACACAAGAATGCTCTGGTTTGAGTTAGGGACAGCAGGTGGGTTAAAAAAATCAAAGGCAAACCCGAGTTCATGATCGCGAGTTTACAAACTCGAGTTCATGACTGTGAGTTTACAAACTCGAGTTCATGATCACGAGTTTACAAACTCGAGTTCATGACCGCGAGTTTACAAACATGAGTTCATGACCGCGAGTTTACAAACTCGAGTTCATGACCGCGAGTTTACAAACTCGAGTTCATGACCGCGAGTTTACAAACTCGAGTTCATGACCGCGAGTATACAAACTCGAGTTCATGATCGCGAGTTTACAAACTCGAGTTCATGACCGCGAGTTTACAAACTCGAGTTCATGACCGCGAGTTTACAAACTCGAGTTCATGACCGCGAGTTTACAAACTCGAGTTCATGACCGCGAGTTTACAAACTCGAGTTCATGACCGCGAGTTTACAAACTCGAGTTCATGACCGCGAGTTTACAAACTCGAGTTCATGACCGCGAGTTTACAAACTCGAGTTCATGATCGCGAGTTTACAAACTCGAGTTCATGACCGCGAGTTTACAAACTCGAGTTCATGATCGCGAGTTTACAAACTCGAGTTCATGACCGCGAGTTTACAAACTCGAGTTCATGACCGCGAGTTTACAAACTCGAGTTCATGACCGCGAGTTTACAAACTCGCAATCTGCCCTCGAATTTGAAACGTCAGGTCCTGAATCCAAGCTTTAAAACTCGAGATTCAGAGAATCGAGTTCGCCCAGAAGAAACGACATCCACCTGCAAAGAAACATAGCAAAAACACATATACAACAGAGCATTCATTTAATCTTCCCCTTCTTCCCCCTCTTTTTTTTAAAAGGATGTACAGGGTCGCGATTCGGTTCCAAGAAGGCAGAGGTTGGTTGGGGTTTGATTTAGGTAAGAAACAGGGAGAATCATTACTACCTTTGGATTAGAAGAAGATGAGAAGAAAACTTGAGGGTTGAGGGAAGTTCGTAGAGATAGAGAGATTAGGGTTTGCCGCTGCTCTCCTTCTCCAGGGAGAGCAGCAGCCAGTTTACACGGTATACCAAAGGTGTTGTTTATCTTGATATCTTTCTATCTGCTTCTTTATACCTGTTATGATTGTTTGATTGTTAAGTTCTGGGTCTAACATTTGGTATCAGAGCTGAGGCGTGAAACAGGTTGAATGTATATGCGATTTTCTTGGATCTAACGAAGAGTGCTCTGCTTTTCTTCTCTTTTTCTTCATATAGAGTTTTGCTCCTGTAATCTTGTTTGTGAATGAAAATCTGTAAAAATTATACTGTTGGAATCGCCTTTCAAAACCGATCCAGCAGCATATTCCCTTTTTCGTTTTCTGCAAACTTTAATTTTTTGTAGAACTCTCATGGTATTTCGAGTTTATGATTATACACTGCTGCAGAAACGATTTTGACTTGAAACAGATACAGGAGGGATCGCGACCTTCAGGGTTATTCAGAACAGTTTTCAGATTCTCAAAATTCGACAGTTTTTAAAATCGAGAGTTTTAAACTCGCAGTCATGAACTCGAGTTGTAAACTCGCAGTCATGAACTCGAGTTGTAAACTCGCGGTCTTCAACTCGAGTTTTAAACCTCGAGTTCTGACCTCGAGTTTAAACCTCGAGTTCTGACCTCGAGTTTAAACCTCGAGTTCTGACCTCGAGTTTAAACCTCGAGTTCTGACCTCGAGTTTAAACCTCGAGTTCTGACCTCGAGTTTTAAACCTCGAGTTCTGACCTCGAGTTTTAAACCTCGAGTTCTGACCTCGAGTTTTAAACCTCGAGTTCTGACCTCGAGTTTTAAACCTCGAGTTCTGACTTCGAGTTTTAAACCTCGAGTTCTGACTTCGAGTTTTTAAAATTTGAGAGTTTTGGAATTGCGAGTTTTGGAATTTATTTCGAGTTTTAGGAACTCGATGTTTTGGATTTCGACATTCTGAAAAATTTCAGAATTTTCGGAATTTCTCGATGTTTTGAATCTTTCAAAGTTTGCAGTTTCTTGGAACTCATAATTCGAATCTTGACATCCTTTGCAGTTCATCGAAGCTTTACATTTTAGATTTCTAAATGATTCCCTGTTTATCAAAGTTTTAGAAGTTGATGTTCTGATGTTTTTCAAACAGCAAGTTTTCGATATTATGAGGTTTTTCGAAACTCCAAAGTTTTCGATGTTCCAAACATTTTGAAATTCTGAAGATTTTGTTATTCTGAGGTCTGTGTTGCAGGTGGATTTCGTCATTCACGCGCCCTCACTCGCAGTCTTTGAGGGTCAAAACGTTAGTTTTCCGACAAACATTGTAAATCACCGATGTCCAGGTCAAAACTTAGGCAAATCTGTTCAAATTCTATCAATGTCAACCCTGAGGTCAAAGCTTTTCTATGCTCCACTGTAAAGGTTCGAAAATCGTAGATAATTCAATCAACCTCGCGTCAACGGTCATCTTACAACAATCAACAATCAACCACTGAAGCCTCCTCTGACTCATCAACATTATGTGATCATCAATATGCTGAAATTCTACATGATGAGCTCAGGGAAACCGTCATGTGTGGTACTTGTTCAGATTGATCCACACACATGGCGGGTATGACGAGCTATGAGCAATCAAACCTTGCACATTCTGAGGGGGAGTTTCAGGTTTCTCCTCCTGGCGCCTTACACTGACAAAGCAAGGAATCTCTCAACGGATGCAACATTCTAGGGGGAGTGTTCAATGTTATCCTCCCCGGTGCCTAACAATGACAAAGCATACCGAGTGTTCCAGTTGAGGGGGAGTACAGAGAGAAAATCAATGAGAGAGCATGTTCCTATGGCTTAGTAAACCCAACTAAAGCCTACCCAAGGGACAAAGCCGAGAGTAAGTGAGTGAGTTAGTGAGTGAGAGTAATCATTATGAGAGTTAGGAAGCAGAAGGCTCAAGTGAGAAGAAAAACAATAATCAATGATGAGTCTGCTACCTCAACTGCCTATTATCCATTGAACATTTACTCCTAGCCACTCAAATACTCTAGACAATTCCCAAATAGGTTCGGGACTGATTTAATCAGATCCCGGGTAGAAGTCACTGCATCTTGTCCAACAGTGCACGTTGAACCCTACCTAAGACCACTCACTTGTCTCCCAACAGACAGGTGTTTAATCATACTTCACGGGGAACCGCATCTCTCATTACTGTCTCCTTCCGAGACAAGTAATACTGACTACAATGGCCTCAGCCCCATGCCACTGAACTTTCATTGATCACGTCGTGTCTAGTTACTCACTCCCGAATGTTTTGAAATTTTCTAGGACACAGATGCACTTTTAGAGTCATTTGCAGGTCTACATGACCCGTGAGAACTTCCATAGGGCTCAACTATTACAGATGTAGATCAATAATTGGAAGGAAGTCCTGCTGTTACAACATAAGAATCACCAACATTTTCAGGCCATTGCTAAAGAGTTTATCTCTATAGTGATGATAACGGGCGTCTTCACGACCCCGGGGGCTACGTTATCTTCTTTACATTCTGCTTGTTTTTCCTGTTTTTATTTCCGCATAATAAAAGAATAAAGGCATGACGCCCCGAGTTATCGGATCGTCATGAGGGGGAGAGTGGTCCACATGTTGTTTACTGTCAAAAAGAAGCATATAGAAAGATATCATAACAGGTATAAAGATGCAGATAGAAAGATATCAAGATAAACAACACCTTTGGTATACCGTGTAAACTGGCCGCTGCTCTCCCTGGAGAAGGAGAGCAGCGGCAAACCCTAATCTCTCTATCTCTACGCCTCTGTTCTCTAAAGCCTCGAACGTTGGTTAGGGTTCCCGTAAGTTAGCCTCCTTTTATAGGAGAAGTTGGCTAACTTACGGGTTACAAAGAAGCTAACGGGCTCATACACATTTGTGGCCCGCATTACACATTTAATTGATAACTACACAAATACAAAGATAACTAACTAGATTGAACACCATAAAATATTCCCAACAATATGTATATATATATATAGAAAAGATCCTATGAGAAGTGCTTCCTAAACTGAAAAATGAGAAGTATTTTGAACCCTCCGATCAAGGCTTATGGACCGTGCGATAGACTTAACCTTCCGCTCTTCATTAATGGCATCTTCGTAAATTCCACTAAGTTTATGCCTTTTTATATATAACAAATAAAATCTTCTTTCAACGATATGTAAGTTTGGTCTATTCGTTCTCTCTCTTCCTCAATTAGCTCTCCAATTTCCATTCGACCTTCTTCAGATCGATTTCATGGCGGCAAATCCATGGAGGAACACCGGTGTGTCTAGCGAGTGCAGCGCCGTACAAGACGAATTCTTAGTGATGACGACTGGCCATTGGAGAGATCGAGTCTATGACCTTAGTCGTGAAGACTTCTCTATCTAAGTCCGGTGCCCTGAACTTGACTTCTTCCGAAATCACTCTAATCCTCATCTTCATATACATCTCCATTAATCTTCATTGCAGTACACAATCTTATCTTTTATCTTCTTCCTAATCACTCTATTGATAATCATCCTCAAAATCAGACACATGAATTCAATAGTGTTTTTCTTTCCGAATTGCGGTTTCCATCTCAACTAGATCGACTAGATTCCAGATTTTCAGGCATTTCATCATCAATTACAAAATTAAGTAATATTAGTTTGAATGATAACAAGTTTTGTATCCTGCTAACTAAAACATGAACTTCGTTTTCAACAATTACTCTTTTTATTATTTTTGCCTTACTGATCATGTAAGAATCGTGTAAAGTAATTTTAATATGTGTACTTATACTATGTGTGTTGACTCTTTGTCGAAATAGATATTGAGTTCATGTTTTTCTTGTAACTTGTTTGTTAGTTTGTGAACTTAGATTATGCCTGCAGATTGTTCGATGAAATGTTTTAATGGTAATTGGTGTTAATGTACTTGATTCGTGAATAATTAAGCTGCAGTTGAAAACTGAACTTTCCATTTGTGCATTGAATTGTGTTTAATCTGTAAATTTTATTCTCAAAGCAAGTTATTTAAGTCTATTTGATATTCTTTTTCGTACAATTTAGGTCAGGAACACGTCTCATATATATAGTGATATATTCTACAATTTGGAGCTATTTTTATTTCTCAACAAGTCTATATTGTTCATGACTTTGCAACCATATTCTTTATCTGAAGGCAACAACCAATATTATTTCTAGTTATAAATTTTCTTTTAAAAGTAAAACAATTAGTTTTATTAGTTTTACTTGCCTTTTCCAAGTTACATGTAGTATTTTCTTAGGTTTTTTTTTATCTTAAAAGGTGTGGTATTCGGTCTCACACAACCTGCATTCTTTTGCCCTTTCACTCAAAGATTGCAAGATTCTCTTCAAGCAAACAATTAGGGAAAATGGAGTGCGACGGAATTCTGTTGGGGATGGGTAACCCACTCCTCTACATTTCTGCTGTCGTCGACCATGAATTCTTGAAGAAGTACGATGTCAAGCTGAACGATGCAATTCTTGCCGATGAAAAGCACTTACCTATGTATGAAGAAATGACATCTAAGTACAATGTTGATTACATTGCTGGAGGTGCAACTCAGAATTCAATCAGGGTTGCTCAGTGGATGCTTCAAAAACCGGGTGCCACCAGTTTCATGGGTTGTATTGGAAAGGACAAGTTGGGGGAAGAGATGAAGAAAAATGCTAAAGAAGCTGGTGTTAAGGTTCACTATTATGAGCATGAGACTACGGCAACGGGTACTTGTGATGTTTGTGTGCATGGTGGTGAGAGGTCTCTCACAACCAACTTGTCTGATGCAAATTGCTACAAGTCTGAACATTTGAAGAGACCTGAAAATTGGGCTTTGGTTGAGAAGGCCAAATACTACTACATTGCTGGATTCTTCCTTACTGTTTCCCCGGAATCCATTATGCTTGTTGCTGAGCATGCAGCTGCCAACGACAAGTTGTTCATGATGAACCTTTCTGCACCATTTATTTGTGAGTTTTTCCGGGAAGTACAAGAGAAGGCATTGCCGTATGTGGACTATATCTTTGGAAATGAGACAGAGGCAAGAACCTTTTCTAAAGTTCATGGTTGGGAGACTGATAACGTTGAAGAAATAGCACTGAAAATCTCACTGTGGGCTAAGGCATCAGGAACACACAGGAGGATCACTATCATCACTCAGGGTGCAGATCCAGTTGTCTTAGCAGAGGACGGGAAAGTGAAGTTGTATCATGTGATAACTTTGCCGAAGGAGAAACTTGTTGACACTAATGGTGCAGGTGATGCATTTATGGGAGGATTCATCTCACAGTTGGTCCAGGAAAAGCCGATTGCAGAATGCATTAGAGCAGGTTGCTACCTCTGAGAAAGCAAATTAAAGTTGAATAAAGTTCATACCGAAATGATTTCCATAAAAAAAGCAGTATGATATTGTAGAGAAGACAGAACAAAAATTTATCGGCACCACAAAGGTATATATTCTGTTGGCAGATCTCGAAGGAAACATAGAACTTATTCATATAAACATCATTTTTGAAATCATATTACCTTTGAGAAAGCAACTAGCGTTGCAGGTCTTCGTGAATTTGCCGATGTTTGCTGAGAAATCAAGTTATGATAAAATAAACTATTTGTTTAAATAGGTTTGAGAAATCGTCAGAATCGAGATTGAATAGAGAAATTTAGAAACATACCTCATTCTAAGATCGAGAAGTAACCTATCGTAGCAGGTCTTCATGATTTGGCCGATGTTCGCCGCAGTTGTACTGTTGCAGAGTCATCCCAAAAGATTGATACCAATGTGTAGAACTCTCCGTCGATGGAGGCGGCAGCGTAAACCGGGATGAAGAGATCTGCGGTGACATAGTTAATCCGGAGGAGAGAGGTTGCTCCATCTGTGCGGGCGCCTGTGTCGCAGGTGTCGTTATTGCAACGGACATCCGAGAAGAAGAAGCCCGGATAGGCTCTAGTGTCTTCACCTTTTTTAAATTGGTCCCTTGATTTACTCTTAATCGAACGATCTCCGTTCCTTCTCATTTTTCAGCCGTAATAATAGACTTTGCAGCAGATTTGTTCTCTATACCTAATATATATATATATATATATATATATATATATATATATATATATATATATATATATAGAGAACAAATCAGGTGAGAAGTGCTCTTAGGCTGAGAACTGCGAAGTTTAACTAATAGACTAAAAACACAAACTTTTAACCAATAAATCATAACTTATAGACCCCGTCGAAAATAATTACGAAAATGCCACCACCAAAAAATAAGCCTGGAAACCTTGAAAAATTTTGGACGCGGTGGCATTTTCGTAATTATGATGGAGAGCTTTATAAGTTATGATTTATTGGTTATAAGTTCTTATATTCAGTCAATTAGATGCAAATCCAAGGGCTGAGATTGCTTCTCACTTCTCATTTTAAGAGGGACTTCTCACTTGATCTTTTCTATATATATAAAACTAGGCTCGCCAGCCGGCTCGCGAGCTAGCTAGCCTAAAATTAGTAGCCTCGTTTATGTCTCGACTGCTTAACGAGCCAACTTGAGCTCGGCTCGAGATCGAGTTTGACCGAACTCGATTCGAGCTTTGACCGAGCGGCTCACGAGCGGCTCGACTCAAACTCAAGTTTGACCAAACTCGATTCGAGCTTTGACCTAGCGGCTCACAAGTGGCTCAGCTCATCTACACCCCTAGATGCTAATTAACTATACTTTTTCGGATTTTTAAAAGAAACTGCTAACTATATTATAAACTCATCTAAGATGTTCATTGCTTCATGATTGGTTGAAGGCACGACGTAGAATTTAAGAAGTTTGCATCGCCCCGACCACCACTTCATGGAAGAAGGAACAACTGATGATCCGACGCTGGAGAAGATTTCGACTTCGTGGAAGAAACATTAAATACATTATTACCAAATGTATTTAATGTTTGAAATTATTTTCAATTATTAAATTGTACTTCATATTTCAATAAACATACATTGCATTTTTTGTAGCACTTGTGAATTAGTTAAGAAAATATTAAATGTATCCCAGCCCGACCCAATCACCCAGGCCTGACCCGAAGGCCAACCAGGTAACCCGACCCGACCCGGTACATACCCAGGCCGGTGCAGGGACTGATTTTTCAAGACCCGGAGGTCGGAGCCCGCCCAGTACCTGCCCGAAGACCAGCCTGAACCCAACCCAGTCTACCACTAAGGTTTTTAAAACATAGCTATTCATTTCGGGTTGGGCTGGGTATTTTGGGCCATTTGGGGTGGTTTGGGGGGTTGGGGGTGGGAGGGGGGTTAATTAGGAAGAGGGAAAAAAATTGATAATGGACCCGGCCCGGACCCGAACCGGACCAGGTGGTTACCCGGGCCGGTCCCGGGTCCACCACTTCTGAACCGCCTGCCCGTCCGGGCCTAGGCCCGACCCTGACCCGGCCCGAACTCGAGTCCATCCCTAGGTAAAAGTATTGATGGACTCGGGCCGGGTGGCCCGACCCGGAACCGGCTCGGGATCGGTACTTTTCCGGGCCGGCCCGACCCGATGGCCCGGTCAGTGACCGGTCCGAGTAGGCCCGACCCGTGGGTTTTCCGGTCCGGGCTCGGGTCACCCAAAACAAGGCCCGACCCGGCCGGACCCGGGCCCGGTTCGGGCCAAAACTACTCCCTCCGTCCCGGAATTATCTTCATTCTTTCCTTTTCGGTCCGTCCCAAATTTATCTCCTTTTTCCCTTTTTGGTAAAGAATATGTGGTTCACAACCATTCTTACACATTTCTCTCCTCTGCATAACTCTCCACCACACAAATTCCACTATCTTAAAACTCGTGCCCGGTCAAAACCAGAGTTAAATATGGGACGGAGGGAGTATTTTTTTTTCAATTTTTTTAAATTTTCGGGTTGGGCTGGGTATTTTGGGCCATTTGGGGTGGGAGGGGGGTTGGGGGTGGGAAGGGGGTTAATTAGGAAGAGGAAAAAAAAATTGATAATGGGCCCGGCCCGGCCCGGACCCGGTGGTTACCCAGGCCGGTCCCGGGTCCACCACTTCTGAACCGCCGGCCCGCCCGGACCTAGGCCCGACCCGGACCCGGACCGGACCCGAGTCCATCCCTAGGTAAAAGGTGAGCTTATTACTTGGTCGGAATTTGGTAGTTTTGTTATTTTTACTGGGAGGGGTGGAAAGAACGTGTTTATTACACAAGTCCATAGTATGGGCGTACAGATAAGCTACAAATGAATCTACAAAGGCTTCGTGTTCATAGAACAGCTGCAGATAAGCTAGACACCTTTGTATTATGAAAAAATAAAAAATAAAATGAACAATGTATTCTACAAAGGCAGGGTGTACTTTTCGATCACAGCCTAGCAGTCAACAGCTGTTGCTTTAGGAGTGGCCTAATGTATTCATGAAACCCATCAGGCACAACCGTATCATTTAATGGGTCTTTCCAAGCTTCTTCATACAGCTTTGGGTACACATTTCCATCATAACGTCCTAGAACCGACCCGAGGAAGTGGTCGGTGTAGTTAAACGCATCCACGAGTGCAATAGCATTAGGGCGGATCTATAAATAATTATCATTGAAAGCAAGAGGATCAGGAGAGTCAGAACTACAAAGGTATGTTTGTACATGGCATTGAACTGGAAGAGAATTTGATGTGGGCCAACCTGTGTGTACAATGATCTCAGCTGATCATTGGCGAGTGAGGCTTGCTTTGGTGTGATGTAATTGGTGGAAAGGAAGTCTCCTTGGTGTTTATGGAGAAGATGGAGGGAGTAGATGGCACAAAGCGCCTCCAGTTGCTGCCTCACCCCCCTCCCCGTGATGTCCTGCTGCAATTTTTCTATAAACCTGGAACGAACAAATGATCACTGGAGCTAACCTTTACATGTGTGCGTACGTGTATGTAGGTAGGTGAGATTATGATTTGGAAGGGGCTACAAATAAAGCTTACTTGGAGACGACAATTAGTTGGCAGTGAGCAACTGCTGCTTCTAACAAATCAGCGGAGAGCTCTGCAAAACCTGGCAAGATAATAAATGTGGACATATAAGAAAGAACTTGTCCCTAATATCATTATTCAGTCGAGGGAACAAGTTCAAATTGGATGGATGGATGGATGGGCGGACGGATAGATAAATAAAAAATACAGAATAAAAGGAATCAAGATAGCTTGGGAACATTCATGTTTAATGCTTTACATTTTCCGTTTTTAAAAAATACGGAGTGCAAAACAATTGTTGCATGTGTGTGTGCACTACGTATGTGTGCGCCCACGTGTGCATGTGAGTTTATATATACACATACATATATATGTGTGTGTGTGTGCATACACGTGTGTTTATATATGCTTGCACACGGCATTACATTCCTAGCAATTAGGCATTCTCATGTGTATAAGCCTTGTCTACTACTCATGTTCCACTATCTTTATCACTTCTTTCTTTTTTCATCCATTCCACTAAATTTGTCTCATATCATAATTAGTGATGTTTATGAGTATAATTCAATCTTACATTATTTACAATTTCATTTTTCTTAATAATTACACCACTCCCTCAGTCCCAAATTGAATTGCAAAAGTTGACCGGCACGCGGATTAAGAATGTGGAGAAATTGACATTTACTTTACCATTTTGCCCCTGTTTGAAAACAAATAAAAAAGGTAAAAATAAAATCTGTAGCCCAAGTACAATATATGTCGGGCACATAGTCACGGCCTCTTCCTTTTTCCTTCTTCATCAACGAAGAGTTGATTACCAACAGAAATCTGCCCAGACCTTCAATATGTTCGACTCCAGAAAATGGCCAGACCCACTTATTCGCTTCTAGCCGATGTCTAGCAGCGGCCTCTCCACCATCCCGACAGCTACTCAAGCCTCCAACCGACCTACTGTTTTCTGCCGCTTGATGGATCGACCCATGACGCAAATATCTCACTAAGCAATTCAGAGTTATCTAAGGGTGGCGGTCGGCGGTGACTCATCTGAGATGAACTGTGTCAAAGAGGCGCATCGGACCTGGGGATTTTCAGATGGTGAACCGTAGGGTGGAGCCGAAATTGATGGTTCAAGAGGGCGCCTCTTCTTTTTATACCGTAAAAGAGATAAATTGGGTAAGAAAATAAAAGCATCCGTAAAATGGGTGTGCCTAGGTGGGACGGAAATTAGAAGGCAAGGAATAAGGATAAAGTTCTCACTTTATTGATGTTTTTATAACTAAAAGGGAAAGTGGAAAATCATTTTGGGACGACCAAAATAGGAAATTTTGCAAAAACAAATTGGGACGGAGGGAGTACAATTTAACATCTTTAAAAATAACAATGACTTGGGAAATATAATGTTTTCTGATAAAATACTTGTACTAAAATTATCTGAACAAATACGACGCAATTATGATAGTTAAGATGTATCACTCAGTCCCCAAAATAACATATGGTTAGACATAGAATTGACCACTCCCAAGGAAATAGTAAAAGTTTCTAACCATAGGCTTGTTGATGAGGATGATGAAGATGTAGAAAATTTGGACATCGAATATAAGATGGCGGTTGGGTAGATGTTGATGTTTAAATTTTGATGAAAAAGAAGCCTGTTTTGCATTGAAGATGATGATTTATGATCATTCTCACTTAATAAAATGATGAATTTATGACTATTCAAGTGATCTTACTGTTATTTTGCATTACATATATTTTATTTTCATTATTGTAATAAGGTCTTTGCTTTAAAGCAAAGCCCCACCCTAATTTCTATTGTGCGCTTTTAACTTTTAAAAAGTTTTCCAAACATTGAATAAGGGTATACCTTCTTCTTTAATGGCAAACTTGTTGATGTTCTTTGCACAAGAAACAGCCATTCTTGCCGCCCTTGCTTCAAAAGCCTCCAAAACTGCACTAGGATTCTGCCAGTCGTTGGCTGAATGAATGGATTCAATTTTAGTATTATGGCCTTGTTTGTGGTGGTTGAGATTTTACAACGTTAAGATGTCAATATCATACCTTGCTGAACTTTAGAACGACAGTTCATTAAATGCCCAATCCTCCCCATATAGGCTATAGTCCCCACAGGCGGTTTACCAGACCCTAGTTGAGATACAGTCTTCACTAGAACTCGAGCAACCTAAACAAAAACAAAACTGTCTATCTCACGAGAAAACAAAATCGAGGAATATATATATACACACACACATATACACATATACTCCCTCCGGTCCTAAATAAACTTCACACTTTGACTTCACACAAATTAAGGAAATAAATTTGACTTTACTGTAGAGTACACTGTTGTGACACTGTTTGGCACTGTTTGGCACTGTTTTGCACTGTTTTGATGTAGATAATTTGCCAAATAAGAAAGGGAGAAGAAGTGTGAAGTTTATTTTGGACCTACCCAAAAAGGAAAGTGTGAAGTTTATTTAGGACCGGAGGGAGTATATACATACACACACACCCATACACACACACACATATATCTAATGATAATCATGCTTAACGTGATAACCGAAAATACACCACTTTTAACTCGACGTGATACTCTATAACGTTTATATGCTACACTTTTCAAAACATGACAACATCAAATAAATTCAAATAAATACGGTTACAAATTCGTAAATATTTCGTCAAGACGAAAAAGTGTAACATACATACGTTATAGTGTATAACATTGAGTTAAAAGTGGTGTTCTCACGTTAAACATTGTTCTCATTTGACCAGAACCGCCGCTTGGCTACGCCTGTTTCAGGTCCTTTCGAGAGGAAATTTTTAGTATTTTTGGCAATTTTCCAGCCATTAGATCTCAAATTCAACACATCAAATGCATTCTCATTTCTTACAATAACCACTCTTCTCATTTGATCCTTATTTTATATATATATAAACTTCATTTTAGACTGAAAATGAACTTTCTGATCCAATTTCTTTGGTTCATCAGTGTGAAAGTATATTAGAATATACTTTAGAATATGCTTTAGAACATATTAGGAATATACCATAGATATTATTATAGTATAGAATCTTATATAGGAATATTCTATTTGTAATGTATATTTATAGGGACTTCCACAACTAATGAAAGACACAGAAAATCCTTTTCTTCATCATTCAATATTATTCTAGTTTATATTTCAACATGGTATCAGAGATTTCTATTTCGGTTTAGTTTTTCTTTTCAGTTTAGTTTTTCTTTTCAATCCAGAATCTTCGAGTTTTTTCCCGGAATAATGCTAATTAAATACAACAACAACAACATCCAAGCCTTAGTCCCAAAAGATATTGGGGTCGGCTAACATGAATCGATACATGATATCACAACCAAAAGGAAAAGAAGGAATAAAGATAAAAAGATAAGCTATTATGAAAAGATAATATAAAAAAGATGAATATATATATATAAATGATAAAATAAAAAGGTTGCAAATAATGCTTATAAATATATATATATATATATATATATATATATGAGGATAAAAAAAACTACGAAAAAAAAGATGAGGGAAAAAAATTATCAAGATCACTCCTTCACGTGAATACCCGCCCTCCACTTAGTTCTCTCCAAAGTCATGCCCTCATCCAACCCCAGAAAAAGCATATCACTTCGAACTCCCCTAACCCACGTCTGTTTGGGTCTTCCTCTCCCTCTCTTCCCTGCCTCTTGTCCACACATCTCAACTCGCCTAACAGGTGCATCACTCGGTCTTCTACGCACATGACCAAACCACCGTAGACGCGACTCCCGCATCTTGTCTTCAATAGGTGTTACTCCCACCCTTTGTCTGATTGTCTCATTCCTCACGCGGTCCTTCCTAGTATGCCCACACATCCAACGCAGCATGCGCATCTCTGTCACACTCATCTTATGAATGTGACATTGTTTCACCGCCCAACACTCTACGCCATACAGTAATGCAGGCCTAATACTGTTGGGATTAACCACGGTTAATTAAAGTCGTCACTCCAAATGGCGATTCTTCTATTACTTCACAAAAGCCGCCACTTGGAGTGGCGGCTCTCCTCCTGTATCACAAAAGTGGCGGCTCTCCTCCTGTATCACAAAAGACGCGACGTCGAGTGGCGGCTCATTAATTCACAAAAATAACCCCCCTCCCCCCTTCTTCCCAGCCAACGAACACCGAAGAAGAAAAAAAACCTCTGCGAACGACGAAAGGCGCTGCAGCAACACAAGTTCCAATTTCGGCCGGAAAGCCTCCAAATCAAGCTCAAATCAAAGGCAAAAGAGCCTCCCTCCCTCCCCCCCCCACCCCTCCCCCCACCCCTCCCTCAAAGGAGAGGAGAGGAGAGGAGAGGAGAGGAGAGGAGAGGAGAGGAGAGGAGAGGAGAGAAAAGAAAAGAAAAGCAAAAAAAAAATAGCAAAAGAAAAGAAGAACAAAACAAAATGAAGAGACGAATGTTAACTAAGCGAAAACACTACATGTGAATGGACAAATAATAGCCTCAGGCATATATAACCTGGGAACCTAATGGCGTGTCCAATTGAGTGTTTCTTAGGTACTCTAGCATAATTAACGGGTTGGCTGTACTAGAAGGCCCTATTTGACCATTATCTATAATAATATGCTGCATATACATGATATCTTAAATGCACTAGTTATCACATTACTTGTAGAAGAAGCACAGTGTTATCTCCTTCATATGTACAAGCAGGGACATAAACAGCAAATAATTCTGGAAGCCCACTGCTACACAAGTAGCCATGGCCTCCACACAGTTTGCGGCATTCCTCAATTCCGTCCTGCAAAGTTGAACATTAATCATCATATCCGGAAAATGGTAAAATGGAATGGAATGACTAGCACTGCTATCTTCAAACTGAAAACCATAAAGAGAGCCAAGTAATCAAGAAAGAGACCAAGTGAAACAAATGAGATTTTTTATGCAGAGTATTTCAATCATTATGCCAGTGTTCGGATTGGCATATGATTCCTTGGAATTCCCACCATTCCAAATATGACTTTATTTTATCTAATTCCCACTCAGTTAGTTACAACCACTAGATCAATCTAAATGAGAAATGACTAGACACTTGTTGATGCATCAGAATGAAATGTGCAAAGTCAACCGACAGACTTGAACTCACTCAGAATGTGCTCTCTAAATTCTAAAAGTAATAAAACAAGCAGTTTATAGGAATCAAAAACACTTTTTCCTTTCCCATAAGTTACTACATATCACTTACAGCAGTAGCAGAAGTAGTCAAAGACTTCAAGCCGGCAGTACATGCATGCACTTCAGGCAGAGTTGAGAAGTCACCAGATTGCAGTTTTTGGGTTACATCGGTGTACAACCATTTGAGCCACTCTCCAACAAATCTGAAGGCATATCCCGAAGCCAGCAAAGGGAAGAGCCTACTCTGCTGAGTTTTATAGTCTAATACCTAAAATTGAGCAAGTATGGAAGGAATCAATGACCAATTCCCTCTTTTAGCCCCCACAAACAAGGATGCAACAAGCAAATACATAAAAACAAATTAATATCAATGTGTTAGAATATACATATTTAATAGTCAATATATTCTATGTATATATATGGTAGCTAATATATTCTCTGCGATAGACTAAATATTCTAGGTAAATCTGACAGATTTAGTTTCCTTTTTGTATTCCCTAGCTTGTATGTATTTATACTGGCCATACCTAATGATAATGTAGAGTGATTTCATTGCATCTTTAATTCTTATTACTCAGTTTACATGGTATCAGAGCCACACAGGTTCTTCGGGTAGTACTTCCCGAAGTTCAACTCTGCTCCCTCCCTCTGGTTCGATTCAGCTCTCTTTTGTGCGGCACAGGACGTTGTTCGCAGGTGCAGGCGTGGTAATCCGGATAGTGCAGAACAATTGTCGCAGGTCTGATTTTCTGGACACTATCTTTACTATTTGCACCAGTTCTCTTACCCTGTTCTTGTTATCACTCTTGCCCTAGTTGTTTGCAAGCATGGGTGATGATAAGAAGAGTGTGACTGAGATTACTGTCGGTAATGCTAGAATTACCGAGAGAAAACTGACTGGTAGTAAAGATTACGGGCAGTGGAAACGGACTATTACTAGATACGTTAATAGTCTTGATCTGGGAGATCATCTAACTGAAATGGCTCCTCCAAGAAGTAATCCTGATGAAAGAAAAAAATGTATGATGGCGGATGATAGGTTGTTCAATCAAATTCAGAATACCCTGGATCCTTCTATTGATAGTATCATTACTCATTGTGATACTGTCAAAGAAATGTGGGAATACTTGGAGTCTATGTATGCCAGTAAACAAGATCTCTCTTATGTTCATCAATTACTGGTGCACCACTATAGACCGGAGATGAGGGATCAGACGTTGTTTCAATACTATAATGAATGTAAACCGATTTTTGAGGAAAAGCGGTCCCGATTCCCTATTACTGCTGATGTTAAGAGTATGCAAGAACAAGAGGAGTGAACATTTGTTCATGGTGTTTTGGCTGGGCTTGGTCCACAATATGAGGTATCAAGGAGTCAAATATTGTCTGGTGGGACCCTTCCTAGTTTTTCTGACCTCTATGGACGTCTCCTTCCGGTGTGCAAAGATGGAGAATCCAGAATGATGAACTCAATTGATACTGCTGACTTAGTCAGTGATGTGAGCCATGGTAAAAGGACCAATTCAGTCACTACTGAAGGGACTCGTAATTCTTCTCGCACATGTTATCACTGTGGAGCTGAGGGTCATGTGAAGAAGAATTGCTGGAAATTACATGGTCGTCCACCACAGACTTCTGGACAGTTTCCTCCCAGGCGTGTTGCTAATACGGTTATCCAGGATGGTATCCTACCAACTCCTTCCACTGTTACTATCTCAGTCGATGAATATGCTCGGCTACAACAACTTTCTCTCACAGCCTCATCTGCCACCACACAAGTTGATACAGGTAATCCAGCTGCATGCCTCTCTACATCATCACGCAATTGGGTGATCGATTCTGGCGCAACGGACCATATGACTGGTAATGAAAGTATTTTGGATTCATTTACTTTAGCAAATGGATCAACCGCATCTGTCAATGGCCTTGGAACAACAACTCTTTCTCCAAATCTTTCTCTATCTTCTGTTCTATATTTATCTCAATTTCCGTTTAATTTAATCTCAGTCAGTCAGATTACTAAAGCCCTAAACTGTTGTGTTATTTTCTTTCCCACTCATTGTCTTTTTCAGGATCTTGGGACGAAGCAGATTATTGGTAAAGGTAGACTGGTTAATGGCTTATATGTTTTTGAATCCTTGGTGCCGAGATCAGTTGCATGCACAAGTTCGTCTCTGTTGAAAGTTCACTGTCAATTTGGTCATCCGTCTCTTTCTGTACTACAAAAAATGTGTCCTAGTCTACCACGGGAGTCTGTTTTGGAGTGTGAGGCATGTCAGTTTGCTAAGCATCATAGAACAAATTTCCCTCCTCGAATAAATAAAAGTGTTGAGTCTAGTTTTGATTTAGTTCACACTGATGTGTGGGGTCCTTGTCCTGTCGTTTCCAAACTTGGTCATCGTTATTTTGTTACATTTGTGGATGATTTTTCACGGGTTACTTGGCTTTATCCTTTGAAATCCCGATCAGATGTGTTTACTGCATTTTGTACCTTTCATGCTGAAATTCAAACTCAATTTAATAAGAATATACGCATTCTGAGAAGTGATAATGCTAAAGACTATCTATCTAGCACTTTTCAGACTTACTTATCTCGCCATGGGATTTTACACCACACTTCTTGTCCCTATACACCTCAACAAAATGGTGTAGCTGAACGAAAGAATCGTCACCTACTAGAAGTAGCTCGAGCCTTAATATTTCACATGGGGGTTCCTAAACCATTTTGGGTAGACGCTGTTTCCACTGCGTGTTATCTTATCAATCGTATGCCTTCCTCTGTCCTTAATGGTCAGATTTCGTACTCCGTTTTATTCCCCTCTCAGTCCTTGTTCTCTCTTGTGCCTCGTGTGTTTGGTTGCACATGCTTTGTCCAGGATATGCGTTCCCAGGTCTCAAAACTTGATCCTAAATCAATCAAGTGATATCGATGTTATTCTCCTTCATTGGGACGGTATATTATCTCTCCAGATGTCACATTTTTTGAAGAAACACCCTTCTTTCAGCATAGTTCATCTTCATCATCTTCTTTGGAACTCTCTAATGATGAGTTTCTAGTCTATACCACCAGCCAGCTAGAATCTGTCCCCCCTAATCAGACTTCTCCATCAACTTTCCTTCCTCCTCCACCTCCTCCCCTTAAAGTTTACTCTCGTCGTGTGCGCCATGTGACTACGGCACCTACTATGGCTACCAGTGTACCGCTACCATCTTCTGCTTCGCCTCCAGATTCTGCTCCCTCTGACCTTGATCTCCCAATCGCCCTCCGAAAAGGTACTCGTACTTGTACTTATCCTATTTCTTCCTTTGTTACTTATAATACATTGTCATCTTCTTCCAAGAGCTTTATTGCTTCTTTAGATTCTATTGGTTTTCCTTCAACTGTTTCTGAGGCCTTGACTCATCCTGGTTGGCAAGAGGCAATGCGAGAGGAGATAATGGCTCTCGACCAGAACCACACATGGGACCTTGTATATCTTCCACCCGATAAGAAAGCTATTGGGTGTAAATGGGTGTTCACTGTCAAAATGAATCCTGATGGTCCGGTTGCTCGTTTAAAGGCACGGTTAGTAGCTAAGGGTTATGCTCAAGCATATGGTATAGATTACTTTGACACCTTCTCTCCTGTTGCCAAACTTACATCCATTCGATTGTTTATCTCTTTGGCTGCTACTTACAATTGGACACTCCATCCACTTGATATTAAAAATGCCTTTTTGAATGGTGACCTTAGCGAGGAAGTGTACATGGAGCAACCACCAGGGTTTCTTGCTCAGGGGGAGTCTGGAAAGGTATGTAAATTAAGGAAATCGTTGTATGATCTGAAACAATCCCCACGAGCTTGGTTTGGCCGTTTCAGTGCGGCAATATTTAAATTTGGCCTACGCAGGAGTGCCTATGATCACTCAGTTTTCTTCTCTACCTCAAATTCTGGATGCATTCTATTAGTTGTGTATGTTGATGACATCGTGATCACTGGCAGTGATGCGAGTCGTATTTTGAAACTGAAAGCTTTCCTTTCTACTTGCTTTCAGACCAAAGATCTTGGGCCCTTGAAGTACTTCTTAGGGATAGAAGTCTCACGTAGTAACAAGGGAATTTACTTGTCTCGAAGAAAATACTGCCTAGATGTGCTAAATGATGCAGGTTTGGTTGAGGCAAAACCGTGTGATGCTCCGATGATCCCAAATGTAAAGTTAACAGCTGATGAAGGCGACTTGCTGGAAAATCCTGAGGTATACCGAAGGATTGTTGGGAAACTGAATTATTTGACTATCACCCGGCCTGATATTGCTTTCCCGGTTAGTGTGGTCAGTCAGTTTCTATCCACTCCACGAACATCACACTGGGATGCAGTTACTCATATCCTAAGATACTTAAGGGGGCTCCAGGGCGAGGGATACTATATCAAAACCACGGACATCATGTTATTGAAGGGTTTACTGATGCGGATTATGCTGGAAACCCTAATGACCGACATTCCACCACTGGTTACTGTGTCTTTGTTGGAGGAAACCTTGTATCTTGGAAAAGTAAGAAGCAAAATGTTGTTTCTAGATCAAGTGCAGAATCTGAATATCGAGCTATGGCACAGACTACATGTGAGCTGGTTTGGCTTCAGCATTTGCTTGGTGAACTTGGATTTACTCAAACAGAACCCATGAGATTATGGTGTGATAATCAAGCGGCTATCCATATAGCAAATAATCCTGTTTTTCATGAAAGAACAAAACACATCGAAGTTGATTGTCACTTTACTCGAGAAAAGGTAGAAGATGGTACAATTTGCACTTCACACATCAAAACAGGAAACCAACTGGCAGATGTGTTCACCAAGGCTCTACCGGGGACACGTATCAATTTCATCTGTACCAAGCTGGGCATGATTAATATCTATGCTCCAGCTTGACGGGGAGTGTTAGAATATACATATTTAATAGTCAATATATTCTATGTATATATATGGTAGCTAATATATTCTCTGCGATAGACTAAATATTCTAGGTAAATCTGACAGATTTAGTTTCCTTTTTGTATTCCCTAGCTTGTATGTATTTATACTGGCCATACCTAATGATAATGTAGAGTGATTTCATTGCATCTTTAATTCTTATTACTCAGTTTACACAATGCAAGTCACGATCATAGAAAAACAAACTCATTAAACAACAACAACAACAACATCCAAGCCTTATTCCCAAAAGATTTTGGGGTCGGCTAACATGAATCGAAATGACACACAAGCAACCCGAATCGCCTGATATGCACAAAATATGAATTGAAATCCCAAAAGATTACTTAATCATTAAATAAGTAACAAGGAAAACTGTAGAAGCTGCAGTTAAGAGCCTGAAGTGAGCAAAATATTATCAACAAACACAACCAAGTGACCAACCACTACTGAAACTGTGCCAACAACAGAAGCAATAAACTCCTATGAAGTTTTCTCTCCTTTATTTTATAGCATAAAGATATCAACAAGGACTAAATTAGTATCCTATGACAATATCATAAGACAAGGTCATAAGGTTAAAAAATTTGCTAATTAATGATTGCATAAGCATTTAGGATATTAGCATACACTTTTGTAACATAAATTGAAGAAAAAATTAAAAACAAGAGAAATATTTCAAAAAAATAGATTCAGGAATTATCAAAAAGATTAATTTGGTTTAGCTTTTTGTAGTATCACATGGAGTCATGGCTAGTAAATTAGAGCTAAAATACATACTACAATGTCAAGATTGCTCGATACATTTTGATGCACAATGTTCAATCAAAACTACCTGCACTTCCTGTCCACCGTTTTGGGAACCAAACTGTCTACGGACAGCACTATATCTAGTAGCTATACACACTGCACGGGACAAAGCAGATGAAGCATCTGCTACAATACTTTGCCGGACAAATACCATAGTTCCATAAAGAATCTGTCGGGGAATATCAGATTGCACATATTTCCCTTCTCTTGTAACCTGTGAAACCCTGAACATTTGAACCAATAACACTCAGTACACCCCATGTTATGAGGATTTATAGTATTAATATGGTTGAATGACAGTAAAGATAACATCAAGTACAATATTCTGGCAGTTAGTGTGGATGTGGGACCTTAATTGAGTCAAATAAAAAACCATCTGTGAATTCAAAAGATTTGCGTCAAAGAGCTCCCCATAAAAAAAGTTACTCCCTCTATCCCATAGAGTCGATAAAGAAATTTCTTGAAGATAATTTTCAAGAAATTTACCAACATAGACCAACAAGCAAGTTTCAACAACAACATTCAAGCCTTGTTCCCAAAAGATTTTGGGGGCCAACAAGCAAATTTTAAAGTGTCAAAAATGTTTTCAACAATGTAAGTATTGTTGAAATATTGCATTTGTACAGAAGTAAAAAGTTGAAATATGATGGATGGGGAGTAATATCTAATATTCTTAAGAATTTTATCACAGTTTCAAGTCTTGGGAGGCGTCCTCTTGCCCGTGCGACCCCTATACACCTTTGTGATGGAACCCTTCATCGGACCCTCGCCATGTGGGGGAAGAAGTCAAGTTGCACGGGCTGCCATTTTTTATCATAAAAAATCATCTCTTTTTTAGCCCCAAAAAGAAGATATGCAATTTAGTAAAGCTATCACGGTGTGCCTTAATATGCTGGGGTGAAGAGTTGCAGAGAAAGAAAATCATGAGTACAACTGTATAAGCCAAAGTGATAGTAAAAGGCCATATAGTGTACACACCGCATCAACATCTGATCTCTCGGGATACGCACATGATCAAATCTCAGCACCCCATTGTCCATGGTGTTATATGCACCATTTCCAAATTTCATTCCAATATCTCCAACAGTAATATCAGGAAGTGGTCTATGGTCCTCCAGGCTCCGTAACTGAACGATAAATCCTACCATAATGGATTTACATGTAAAAAAGTAAGTCAGGCATGGATTTTTTCCAAGGTCAGACATTAACAGTACTTATTTGTTGTTATGTGTGAAGAATTTTTCCTTACCATGAACTCCATGGTCTTGGCCCTCTGTTATAAGACGAGCATAAACAATAGCATGGGTAGCGATTTTTCCCAATCCACCAGGCCACCACTGTCAGCAATACAAAACCAAAATTGAGAATATTAATAATTGTAGACAAGATTAAAATAAAAAAATGATTAACCGATTATCACTAAAACGCATTAATAGGAAAACTGCGAAATAGGCCCTCCAACTATCTCCAAATCATCAATTAAACCCTTGTACCTAAGAAACACTCGATCAAACACACAAGCTTGTTAAAAACACTCAATACATTTTTAGCAGGTTACCAACATATTTCCAGATCTCACCGCCACCTCATTGCAGCATGATATAGTCTTTCCTGTTTTAGTTTTCTTAAAAAAAAAAAAGAAGCTAATTGAGTGTTTTTAACAGATTTAGTTTCCTTTTGTATTCTCTAGCTTGATATTTATACTGGCCATACCTAATGATAATAAAGTGAGATTTCATTGCATCTTTAATCCCTATTACTCGGTTTACATGGTATCAGAGCCACACAGGTTCTTCGGGTAGTACCTCCCGAAGTTCAACTCTGCTCCCTCCCTCGGGTACGATTCAGCCTTCTTTTGTGCGGCGCACGACGTTGTTCGCAGGCGCAAGCGTGGTAATCCGGATCGTGCAGCACAGTTGTCGCAGGTCTGGTTTTCTGGACACTATCTGCACCGGTTCTCTTACCCTGTTCTTGTTATCACTCTTGCCCTGGTTGTTTGCAAGCATGGGTGATGATAAGAAGAGCGTGACTGAGATTACGGTCGGTAATGCTACAATTACCGAGAGAAAACTGACTGGTAGTAAAGATTACGGGCAGTGGAAACGGACTATTACTAGATATGTTAATAGCCTTGATCTGGGAGATCATCTAAGTGAAATGGCTCCTCCAAGAAGTAATCCTGATGAAAGAAAGAAATGGATGATGACCGATGATAGGTTGTTCAATCAAATTCAGAATACCCTGGATCCTTATATCGATAGTATCATTACTCATTGTGATACTGTCATAGAAATGTGGGAATACTTGGAGTTTATGTATGCCAGTAAACAAGATCTCTCTTATGTTCATCAATTATTGGTGCACTACTACAGACCAGATATGAAGGACCAGACGTTGTTTCAATACTACAATGAATGTAAACACATTTTTTAGGAAAAGCGGTCCTGATTCCCCTGCTGATGTTAAGAGTATGCAAGAACAAGAGGAGCGAACATTTGTTCATGGTGTTTTGGCTGGGCTTGGTCCGCAATATGAGGTATTGAGGAGTCAAATACTGTCTGGTGGGACCCATCCTAGAAATTACTGGAAATTACTGGAAATTACATGGTCGTCCACCATGTACATGTGGACAGTTTCATCCCAAGCGTGTTGCTAATATGGTTATCCAGGATGGTATCCTACCAACTCCTTCCACCGTTACTATCTCAGCCGATGAATATGCTCGGCTACAGCAGCTTTCTCTCACAACCTCATCTGCCACCACACAAGTTGATATATTACCTGCTGCATGCCTCTCTACATCATCACGCAATTGGGTGATCGATTCTGGCGCAACAGACCATATGACTGGTAATGAAAATATTGTGTCTTCATTTACCTCTTCTGATAACCAGTCTCATGTTACTTTAGCAAATGGATCAACCGCATCTATCAATGGCCTTAGAACAACAACTCTTTCTCCAAACCTTTCTCTTTCTTTTGTTTTATATTTATCTCAATTTCCGTTTAATTTAATCTCAGTCAGTCAGATTACTAAAGCCCTAAACTGCTATGTTATTTTCTTTCCCACTCATTGTCTTTTTCGGGATCTTGGGACGAAGCAGATTACAAGTTCGTCTTTGTTGAAAGTTCACTGTCAATTTGGTCATTAATCTCTTTCTGTACTACAAATAGTACAAAAAATGTGTCCTAGTCAGTGATGTCAATCTATAGCGGAATAGCGTTGCGTCAGACATGGAAGGCGCTACGTGGAGGGCTCTAGCGTGGCGTTTGGGTGTAGCGGGCATAGCGACCGCTATCGCAGTGGTGCGGAGAATGGTATGGCAGACGCTAACGCGGCGCGTTTTATGGTAAAGCAGAACTGCGCATTCTGGGATGGGTTTTAGCATTTAATTTTTTAGCGCAGACATAGAAGGGGTAAATTAGACTTTTAAAACAATATATTAACCTACTTAAAACCTTACACGTACGTCAAAGGTTACTCAAAGCTCAAAACGAAGCTACCTTTTGAAAATACTCAATTCGATGACTTCTCCAGGAACGACGATCATCTGCAATGACTTCTCCAGGAACCTTTGCGATGAAATAACTCAGAAACTCAGTTGAACCTTCTGCTGCAACACCTTCTTCCCCAGGCTTTGCTGCAGACCTGCAGTCTTCTGTTCAAGCCCACAGGAGAACTTTGACTCCCACATTCGTACATATAGACCTGCACCAAACTATAGTGACCAAGCCAACACACACACTATGCAACATCTTCTTCCCCAACCTTTGCTGCAGACCTGCAATCTTCTTTTCAAGCCCACAGTAGGTTAGTCTTCTTCTTCTTCTCGTATGGAGTCTATGGAGTCTAGTCAGTCCACTCTCTTCTCGTATGAATTCAAAGGGCTTGCAAGTCATATCTATGTTTTTTGACTGTTAATTTGTCAAGACTTAAACTCTTACACTAGAACCTTGTTTTTGACTCAATGTTTTGACTTAAGATGTTTTAATTATTAATAGCATCTTATGTTTTGCTCAGTAGTCTCTTTGCAGACCTTAGATGTGCCTTAAAGGTAATAGATTTATCTTAAAGGTAATAGATGTACCTTACAGTAGTTAAAACTTAAAACATATGCTTCCAGTAAGGCAAAGAGTATTTTTTTTCATATGTATGTATTACATATGCTTCCAGTAGTTACTTATCTATTATATTTGAAAGTACTCTAAATAGCGGTAATCCCGCTATCCGCTATACCGCTATAGCGTTTTTGGGGCTGCCCGCTACGCTCCGCTATCCGGGATTGACAACACACTAGTCCTAGTCTGTCACGGGAGTCTGTTTTGAGTGTGAAGCATGTCAGTTTGCTAAGCATCATAGAACAACTTTCCCTCCTGATTTAGTTTTGATTTAGTTCACACTGATGTGTGGGGTCCTTGTCATGTCGTTTCCAAACTTGGTCATCGTTATTTTGTTACATTTGTGGATGATTTTTCACAGGTTACTTGGCTTTATCCTTTGAAATCCCATTCAGATGTGTATACTGCATTTTGTACCTTTCATGCTGAAATTCAAACTCAATTTAATAAGAATATACGCATTCCGAGAAGTGATAATGTTAAAGACTATCTATCTAACACTTTTTAGACTTACTTATTGTAGAAGAATCCAGAAAATATTAATTTATAATATTTTCAATTATTACAATTTCAGTTTTAACCGTTACATATCCTTGTAATTAGTATTATAATTATTATATAGGCTCCCAATGATTGTATAAATACCAATGTATGCATGAGAATAAAGTAGGCAATTCAGTCTGCAATTCTCTCTTCTTCTAAACTCTATAATGGTATCAGAGCCATAAGAGCTCTCACCAGCCCCTCTACCCATGGCTAACCAAGAAAATACAGCCAGACAGACAGAGAATCTCCGGGAACAAGGAGACCTTGAAAATCCGCTTGCTAAAACCTTGGCTACCCCTTCCAACAACCCCTTGACCCCTGATGGACTCATAATGCTTAACCTCAGTCAATTCCCAGAAAAATTAGACGGTTCTAATTACCTGGTTTGGCGTGACCAGGTTCTTGACCTTCTGTTTGGGTCAGACCTGAGTCAGTACATCGAGGAGGATGCTACGCTGCCACCAGAAAGCGACGCAATCGGCCGTCTCAGATGGAACCGACAGGACAGACTCCTCCGCCACGCCCTAGTCTCCTCCCTTAGCTCCGCTTGCAAACCATTAATTGGTTCTGCACGCACTTCTGCCGATGTCTGGAAGACACTTGAGCGGCTCTATGGGACTCGGTCACCATCCGCAATTAGAAACCTCAAAGACCAGTTCCGACACATGAAACAGGGAGATCAACCAGTGGGGGAGTACCTTCACAAACTCCGAACCCTAGCTGATGAACTGGCACTGGCAGGACGACCCGTCGACGATGATGATTTCCTCATTCAAGCTCCAGAAGGACTTCGGCCAGAGTTCGAAGCAATCGTGAACTCCATCCAGACTTCAGGCGACACTCGATTGGGAACCATCCATACGCTGCTCGTAGGATATGAAGACAAGCTTCGACGAAAGGAGGTGCTGAACTCCAATCCCGTGCTAACCGCTAATTCAGCTATCGCGGAGACGGCAGAGTCTCTTGCCTTGGCCGTTCGAAGGAGTGCAAATGGCCCAAGAGGTAATCAGGCACAAAACCCTTCTATATTGGGCCCAGGACCAGCACCACAACTTCAGAGACAATTTAACAGGCCCAATACCAATCTGTTAAATAACACCAGGAGCCATAATCGAAACCAGGGGGCCGATAATTTCCACAACCCAAACCGACGTCGAAATAATAATCCCGGAGGTAATAATATGGGAGGCAGAAACAATTTCAGGAGCAATAATGATTCTAGAGGTACAATTATATGCCAAATATGTGGCAAACCAAACCATCTCGCTCTTAACTGTTGGCACCGATTTGAACAACAAAATTACCCTCCTCAAGCCAATACTGTGGTGACCAATAGAAATGGGTGGTTGTTTGACTCTGGAGCCTCGAATAATGTCACCAATAATCTCAATAACCTGACCTTGGCTTCAGATTATACTGGTAACGGTAAAGGTCTTGTGATTGCACAAGTTGGAAATATGAATATTCATTCTCTTTCCTTACCTAATACTCTTTTTGTTCCTTCAATTCATACTAATTTAATTTATGTTGCCAAATTATGTCGTGATAATGATGTGCTAATTGAATTTCACCCCTCTTTCTGTTTTGTAAAGGACCGGCGAACGGGAGCAATTTTGTTACGGGGTATGAATAATGGGGATGTCTACAGTCTGCCGGATGTAACGATTCCTTCGTCTCCATGTGCTAATGTTACTACAAAATATTCTCTTAATAAATGGCATTGCCGTGTAGGTCATCCTGCTCTCCCTATAACTCAAAAAGTTATTTCTTCACTTGGTGTTTCATTTAAAAATGTTACTAAGGATATCTCTTTATGCACTTCATGTGCAAGTAATAAAAGTCACAAGTTACCTTTTGCTAAATCTTCACTTTCAAGTTCTGGCCCTCTTGACCTAATTTTTACAGATGTTTGGGGTCCTTCTCGCATTACTTCTGTAGACGGTTTTCGTTACTATGTTATTTTTGTTGATCACTATACCAAATACATTTGGTTTTATCTCATCAACCATAAGTCTGAAGTCACCTCAATTTTTCAACAATTTAAAAAAATTGTAGAAAACTTTTTTCAAAAAAATATTAAAATGGTTTACTCTGATGGAGGAGGTGAGTATGTCGCCCTAGGGAAATTCCTGAGTTCCTGCGGTATTTCCCATTTATTAACTCCTCCCTACACTCCGGAACATAATGGTTTTGCTGAACGACGACATCGTCATATTGTTGAAACAGGGATCACTTTACTTCATCATGCTTCCATGTCATTTAAATATTGATCTTATGCTTTTGAAACTGCAGTGTATCTCATTAATAGACAACCTGCAATGTCTCTCAATTTCTGCACTCCATTTGAAAAGCTTTTTCAAAAAGCACCTAATTACACAAAACTTGCTATTTTTTGGGTGTCAATGCTTCCCGTGGTTACGTCCTTACACAACCCATAAATTAAAACCTCAATCCAAACCATGTATTTTTCTAGGGTATTGTGATCAGCAGAGTGCATATCAATGTCTTGACCCAGCTACCCATCGTATTTTTATTAGCAGGCATGTCATATTCAATGAGTTTGTTTTTCCCTTCTCTTAGACCGTAACACCTGTTACTAATCTCTCCTCAGAGATTGATAACGGGCTTCAACCGCCTATTTCTTATCTTCCTCTTTCAGGTACACCAGCGGCAAAGGCATCTCCTATTTCTCGTACTCCCACTCAGCAAAGCACTCCCGGTAGTTCAATCTCTACCTCTAATATGACGCCCCCTACACCCCCACCTCCACACAATCCACCTGCTATCATCACCTATCAACGTCGGTCTAAGCAAAAACCATCTACCCCAACATTTCCTCAAACTTCACTCAATGAACCACCCACTATCACCCCGACCAATTCCCCTCCCAAACTTACTCATCCCAGGACTCTTCGTCCTCGTAAACAAGCTAATCTCGTCACTCAATCCACATTACATCATCATATTATTCCTACTTGTGCTTCTCAGGCTTTACAGGTACCAGAATGGAAGGATGCTATGTCAGCAGAATTTGAAGCCTTGGTGAAACAGGGAACTTGGGATCTTGTTCTGACCTGTCCTGGTCAAAATGTTGTTGGTTGCAAATGGGTTTATACTGTGAAGTACAAGTCGGATGGTTCCTTGGATCGTTTCAAAGCTCAGTTGGTTGCTAAGGGCTTTCATCAGCGCCCAGGAGTTGATTATTCCGAAACTTTTAGCCCAGTAATCAAACCGGTCACCATTCGAGTTGTCCTGACTATTGCTCTTTCTCATGGTTGGCAGATCCATCAGCTTGATGTTAATAATGCCTTTTTGCATGGGACTCTTCACGAGGAAGTATACATGAAACAACCTCCCGGTATCAATCTTTAGGTGGGTTTCTTCTTTCCCTTGGATTTCATCAATCTGTGTCGGATGCGAGTCTCTTCATACTCTCTTCACATCAATCTTATATCTATGTGTTGGTATATGTGAATGATATTATTGTTACTGGTTCCACTCCTACTTTGGTTCGTCGGATTATTGATTCCTTAGCGCAAAAAATCTCTATCAAGGAATTGGGGTCCTTACATTATTTTCTAGGCATGCAGGTCACTCTGACGCAGGATGGGCTCTTTCTTGACCAACACAAATACATTACCGATTTATTACATATGTTGAAAATGGATGAGGCAAAACCGGTATCCACACCCTTGGCTTCCTTGGCATCATTAACACTGTTTGATAGTTCGAGGTCTTGCGATGTGACTCTCTATCGTCAGGTCATTGGATCACTTCAATATTTGAGTCTCACAAGACCATATGTTGCCTTCGCTGTCAACAAACTTGCTCAATTTATGCACAAACCAACGGTTACTCATTGGCAGCATATCAAACGCCTATTACGGTACCTTCAAGGCTTAGTTCTTATGGTCTCTATCTCCGCCGCAGTTCATCTCTTTCTCTATGTGCTTATGCCGATGCAGACTGGGCAGGGAATCCCGATGATCGCTCCTCAACTAGCGCATATGCCATTTTTCTTGGTGAATCACTTGTTTCCTGGAAGTCCATTACACAACGAACCATTGTTAAATCATCTACAGAAGCAGAGTATCAGGCTCTCTCTACTGTTGCATCAGAAATTCTTTGGATTGAGTCTCTTCTTCATGAACTCCGACATCTGCCTCCCGCTTCCCTGCTCCTACTTTGTGATAACAAAGGCGCTACAACTTCTTCAGCAAATCCGGTTTTCCATTCCAGGATGAAACATGTTGCCATTGATTTTCATTTTGTACGACAACGTGTGCAACATGGGCTTCTTCGTGTTCTTCACATCTCTTCTCATGATCAGTTAGCTGATGCTCTTACAAAACCACTCTCAAGGCAACGGTTTACTCTACTAAGAGACAAGCTCAGGATTCTTGGGAGGGACAGAATACCTGGCTTGCGGGGGCGTGTAGAAGAATCCAGTAAATATTAATTTATAATGTTTTCAATTATTACAATTTCAATTTTAACCGTTACATATCCTTGTAATTAGTATTATAATTATTACATAGGCTCCCAATGATTGTATAAATACCAATGTATGCATGAGAATAAAGTAGGCAATTCAGTCTGCAATTCTCTCTTCTTCTAAACTCTATTACTTATCTCGCCATGGGATTTTACACCACACTTCTTGTTCCTATACACCTTAACAAAATGGTGTAGCTGAACGAAAGAATCGTCACCTACTAGAAGTAGCTCGAGCCTTAATATTTCACATGGGGGTTCCTAAACCATTTTGGGTAGACGATGTTTCCATTGTGTGTTACCTTATCAATCGTATGCCTTCTTCTGTTCTTAATGGTCAGATTCTGTACTCCATTTTATTCCCTCGCAGTCCTTGTTCTCTCTTGTGCCTCGTGTGTTTGGTTGCACATGCTTTGTCCAGGATATGCGTTCCGAGGTCTCAAAACTTGATCCTAAATCAATCAAGTGTGTTTTTCTGGGTTCTTCCCCATTACAAAAAGGATATTGATGTTATTCTCCTTCATTGGGACAGTATATTATCTCTACAGATGTCAAGTTTTTTGAAGAAACACCCTTCTTTCAGCATAGTTCATATTCATCCTCTTCTTTGGAACTCTCTAATGATGAGTTTCTAGTCTATACCACCAGCTAGCTAGAATCTGTCCGCCCAGTGAGGTTTCCCCATCAACTTTCCTTCCTCCTCCACCTCCTCCCCTTAAAGTTTACTTCGTCGTGTGCGCCCTGTGACTACGGCACCTACTATGGCTACCGGTGTACCACCGCCATCTTCTGCTTCGCCTCCAGATTCTGATCCCTCCGACCTTGATCTCTCAATCGCCCTCCGAAAAGGTACTCATACTTGTACTTATCTTGTTTCTTCATTTGTTACTTATAATACATTGTCACCTTCTCCCAAGAGCTTTATTGTTTGTTTAGATTCTATTGTTGTTCCTTCAACTGTTTCTGAGGCCTTAGCTCATCCTAGTTGGCAAGAGGCAATGCGAGAGGAGATGATGGCTTTCGATCAGAACCACACATGGGACCTTGCATATCTTTCACCCGATAAGAAAGCTATGGGGTGTAAATGGGTGTTCACTGTCAAAATGAATCCTGATGGTTCTGTTGCTCGTCAAAAGGCACGATTAGTAGCTAAGGGTTATGCTTAGACATATGGTATCTACCACCCAATTGCTTATTTGAGTAAAGAATTGCCCCCTAGAAATCAAACCAAGTCAGTCTATGAGAGGAGGTTAATGGCAATAGTACTAGCAGTGCAGAAATGGAGACCATATTTACGCAGAAATGGAGACCATATTTACTTGGTAGAGGGTTTGAGATACATTCTGATCAGAAGAGTCTTAATATTTACTTTTAAAATGTGAATACTTAGATTAACATCATTTTAATTCTCATATTAGCCTCAAAAAACTTATAGAAGGACAAATTTAAATATTTCTAATAGATTCATGCAACTGACAATAATTTTTTTCTAATTAGATTGGTTTCGGAATTAGAGATGGACTAAAACCATAATAATGCATTTTACAGGGATGAAAAACAAAAACAAATATTTTGCAGAGACTTAAAACAAAGTGTCATATTTGTAGGGACTAAAAACGTATTTAAGCCAAATATTATTAGGTGATCGATTTTCTTGGAAGTTAGAATAATTATGATTGTTGGGATTTGTTGCTACTTCATTATTAGGATTATTATTGTTTATTTATTCATATTGAAAAGTTATAAGACTAATTTATTACTAGAATTTTGGGCACTTGTGTTTTTAAGTTTAAATGTATAATTAACATATGGCCTAGTAATCACCAAGTAATCGATCCTAATCGTGACTCGGCCCTTGACCTAGTTACCACCGAGTAGCGATTTAACTACTTGGATTAGATGAAGTTTAAAACTTTGAAAAAAACGGTAGACACATTGTCACCGAAAGGAGAAAGGTAGTAGGGGCAGTGTATCAAAAACTGAATACAACTACTGAAATAATTGTAATAGCACTACTTAATAAATGAAGTGGATGTGTTACCTTGCTTGAAGTCAAGGTAGGACTATGAATAATAAATTCATCTGTTTGGGGATCAAAAGTGGCAGTGGTTTCAAGACCTTGGACATTGGACCCGTGTCCAAGTTCAGTTTGCGCATAGCAACCAATTATTTGCATTTTGTATGCCAACGGCAACCACTTTTGTTGTTGTTCCTCCGTGCCAGATCCTTTGATGGCAGGGACAAACATCCCCTGGATATGAATTGAAGAAGTACATCATGAGAACATATTAAAGGGAATGCAAGACCTTTACTAAAAAGATGGGGCTTGTTTGGTAAGGGGTATCTGGCTGAACTGAATGGTTTGAGTCTGCTTAGTTTACTTAACTTTATAAGTGAAAATAGCTCGGTAAAATTGATTTCGGCCAAATAAGAGCCCCTTTGGTATCAAAAAGTGTCTTACTCTGCTCATCAAATATACACAGTACTTAGCTATTGAATAACTTGTTTGAATGAAATGGATTGTATCGAATACTTTTGGTTTTTTGGGTTTCAAAACTTCAGTAGATTCATTCATAGAGGGGTGAAGAAAGACAAAAACTAGTTGTGATTATTCTGCTTATAAGTTGAATAAGCATAGTGGTGCTACCAAGTAGGGTCTTAGTCTTGGACCAAAATAATACTCCGTAAAATATTAAAAACAGCTAAGAGCTTACCCAATGAAGATCACTGAAAGCAGGCTCATCTATATAAAATCTAAGTCTAGCAGCCTCTTCCTCTGCAGAAAATGAAAGACTAAAAATCAAATTCAATAATGTAAAGTGAAGCATGAACATAAAATATGAAGTGACAACCTACCAGTAAGACGAAGTTCAATAATCCGTTTCCATGCATAAGTTGCCTTCCGTAGTGTATTCTTGAACAGTTCCTTCCTGGGCATCATGGTCCTGCCATCCTTACTAAAGACCTATCATTCATATCCAAAATTAAAAAATAGTTGGAAAAGCACTAAACAGCGAAAGGGGTTAGTGAAAGCCAACGAATCGATCTGTAACTTTTTGGGGTTAAAACATGTGTTCCGTGGAATCCAAGTTGACCTATTACCTCCTTATTCTATTACGAAAATAATTAGCAAATCCTCCAAAATCCTTCTAGATCGAACCCTAATCACCCAAGAAAAGAAACCAGTCACACAAAACTACACAGTTCTAAGCTGGGTTCAACCTATAAGTAAAAATATTCCCAGAGTTAAAAGCAAGAGATGTTGTACAGGGTCACTGGCGACGAGCTTAGAGATGCGATCGGAAAGATTGAAGGCGTGGCGAGAGCCCGCCCAGACGACTTTCATAGCGTCTACATCGAACTCTGCCTTCCTCCTCTCATCGGCTAGGAAGTCCACTCCCTCCATCTTCTCTTCGGGTCACAATAGAAAATGAGAAACAAAAACACAGCTCGAGTGCTTGACTAAATTTTATGCAGGGAGGATGGGAGACAGGATAATGGATGCTTATAATTGCTGCGAGACGAGATAAGGGTCAGTACTAGTTGAGTGAGACTTAATCCATATCCATAGGCAAATTATTCCGTGCAACCGGCACACCATGAGGATGGTGTGCCGATTGCAAAAGGACGCAGCATGCTGGTTTTTTTTTTCTTTTGCTGTTAAAAAATGATAATAATTTTTTATTTTTGATCCGATTTTTATAAAATTTATATCAACATTTTTTATTTTTCATGATATTTCAAGTGAGACCAATATTGCTTATGTAATTTTAAGAAATTCTCGAACTATTATATTAATGAGTATTGGATTATAAGGAAAATCGAATTTATTTGGGAGATGATAGGTTTGTGAAATAGAAGATTGAATCTGTTTGGGAGTGGATCAGTGGCCTCAGTTACATTTGATAATACATTAAGTTACATCTTTTTATTAGCGAGTTACATCTTTTTATAAGCAAGTTACATCTTTTTATAAACGAGTTACATCTTTTTATAAGCAAGTTACATATTTTTATAAGTGAGTTACATATATATACACATGAGTTACATTTGACATGCCTGAACGCGACTTACATATATTTACACGTAAAGTTACATATTTATACACGCGAGTTACATATTTATACACACGAGTTGCATTTGACCTGTCTGAACGCGAGTTACATATTTTTTTACGTAAAGTTACATATTGTTACACGTAGAGATACATATTTATACACATGAGTTGCATTTGCCCTGATTGAACGTGAATTACCTATTTTAAAACGTAAAGTTACATATTTTACACGCAAATGTTAATATTAAGCTATGTTAAAATTACATAGGCAATATTGGTCTCATTTGAAAGATTATGAAAAATAAAAAATGTTGATATAAATTTTATAAAAATCGGATCAAAAATAAAAAAGCTATTACCGTTTTTAAAAAAAAAGAGAGAAAATAATATCCAATGGGTGCATGGTGCACACCATGCACCCGTTGCACGGTATACGCACTCATATCCATATGTTAAATTAAGGATGTTTTTAGGGACGGTAATTTGCTGGTCTTGTCTGTTGTGGTCTTATTTGGTTTGTTTTAGTCTGATTTGGTCTAGTCTGTTTTGGTCTGGTCTAGTCTGGTCTGGTCTGAAATTTCATTTTTTATATTTTTCGCATAAAGATTTTATTTTTTATATATATTATAATCCATAAATAATTATATTTTATTCATTTATAATTAAAAATAATAATAGTAATCATAGTAATAATACTTATAATAATAACAATGATGATGATGATGATAATAATAAAATATGGTTTGGTCTGGTCTGAAATATTATAATACTCCCTCCGTCCCTTAAAACTTTGTCAACTTTCCTTTTTTGGATGACCCACTAACTTTGCAACTTTCCATTTTAAGTAAAGAATTTGTGACTACAATCAGTTCTCTCTCCTCTGCACAAACCTCGACCACACAGTTTTTACTTTATTAATCCTTGTGCCGGTCAAACATGGCAAAGTTTTAAGGGACGGAGGGAGTAATAATAATACTAATAATAATAATAATAATACTAATAATAATAATAATAATAATAATAATAATAATAATAATAATAATAATAATAATGATGATGATAATAATAATAATGATAATAATAATAATAATAATAATAATAATAATAATAATTATAATAATAATAATAATAATAATAATAATAATAATAATATAATAGCAATAATAATATAATAGCAATAATAATAATAATAATAATAATAATAATAATAATAATAATAATAATAATAATAATAATAATAATAATAATAGTAATAGTAATAATAGTAACAATAATAATAACAATAACAATGATGATGATGATGATGATGACGATGACGATGATGATGATGATGATGATCATAATAATAATAATAATAATAATAATAATAATAATAATAATAATAATAAAATATGGTCTGATCTGTTTTAGTCTGGGACGAATTTCACTTCATATGATTGATGTGGAACGAGACATAACACATCAATAATAACAAATATTTTTTTTATTTGAATTACTTGAGTTTTTTCCAAAGGAAATGTACTTTCAAATCTTATTTCTCAAATTATGGTAGTTTTAAACTTATTTCCCAAATAGAGGTGTTTTTTGCCTTGTCATCGAGCTACGAGCCATTTTAGCAAAACCCGATTATTTGCGATTCCATGTCACCAGCTCGCCACGTCATGCTTCCATGTCATCTCACTCGCATGTTTTTTTAAATATCAAAAAATTTGATGCTTGGGGGATTCAAACACCAACACTCCTTGCTTAATTTTTGGTCTTCATCCACTCTACCAATGCAATTACTCCGTAGTTGTTATTCTGTTGTTTTATTATATACTTATTAACTTCTTTGCTTAATACAACATCAATAAAGTTTGCTATATTTTCAATATAACAATAATAAAATAATACTCCGTAATTAATTATCCGAGTATTCATATTATCCCCTAAGAGGGATATTATGAATAACATACTCCGTATACAGTAGCATTCAAATTAGGCAAGTCTGACGGAAACCCCGTCCGTGCAACTTTATTTTGTACTGAAAATGTTGTTTACAATTCAATTTTTTTATTCGTTGGTATCAACTATTACTTCCAATTATATTGTTAGATCATAAAAATACTAAAATTTTCCGATCGGGGAATCGATTAACTTAATTATTTAAAATAATTGCGCATTTATTCATGTATATTACTAGTGAGACTAGTAATATAGGATCCAGCTAAAGTTTCATCAATAATTCTTAGCTAAAAATATGAAGTGAAATACCCATGAAAGTAAAACAGTAACCAAAACCTACAGAAGGGCCGGTAAAAGATTTCTTGACGTTGAGTAACTTTCTCAATGGAATACACATACACAAATGCGCAATTATTTTAAATAATTAATTTAATCGATTTCCCGACCGGAAAATTTTAGTATTTCTATGATCTAACAGCTTGAAGTAGTAGTTGATACCAACAAATAAAAAAATTGAATTGTAAACATCATTTTCAGTACAAAATAAAGTTGGTCGGACGCGGTTTCCGTCAGACTTGCCTAATTTGAATGCTATTGTATACGGAGTATGTTATTCATAATATCCCTTTTAGGGGATAATAATACGAATGCTCTATCTTATTGGATAAATAAGTATTATTTTATTATTGTTATATTGAAAACATAGTAAATTTTATTGATGTTATATTAAGCAAAGAAGTTAATAAGTATATAATAAAACAACAAAGTAACAACTAATTGCATTGGTAGAGTGAATGAAGATCAAAAATCTGTTGTTATTCACATGTTTTTTTAAATATCAAAAAATTTGATGCTAGGGGTATTTGAACCCCAACACTCGTTGTTGGTTTTTTTGTCTTCATCCACTCTACCAATGCAATTACTGCGTAGTTGTTATTCTGTTGTTTTATTATATACTTATTAACTTCTTTGCTTAATACAACATCAATAGAGTTTACTATATTTTCAATATAACAATAATAAAATAACAATTAATTATCCGAGTATTCATATTATCCCCTAAAAGCGATATTATGAATAACATACTCCGTATATAGTAGCATTCAAATTAGGCAAGTCTGACGGAAACCCCATTCGAGCAACTTTATTTTGTACTGAAAATGTTGTTTCCAATTCAATTTTTTTATTCGTTGGTATCAACTATTACTTCCAATTGTTAGATCATAAAAATACTAAAATTTTCTGATCTGGAAATACATTAAATTAATTATTTAAAATAATTGTGCATTTATGTATGTATATTACTAGTGAGACTAGTAATATAGGATCCAGCTAAAGTTTCATCAATAATTCTTAGCTAAAAATATGAAGTGAAATACCCATGAAAATAAAACGCTAACTAGAACCTACAGAAGGGCCGGCAAAAGATTTCTTGACGTTGAGTAACTTTGCCAACGGAATACACATACATAAATGCGCAATTATTTTAAATAATTAATTTAATCTATTTTCCCGACCGGAAAATTTTAGTATTTCTATGATCTAACAATTTGAAGTAATAGTTGATACCAACGAATAAAAAAATTGAATTGTAAACATCATTTTCAGTACAAAATAAAGTTGGTCGGACGTGGTTTCCGTCACTCTTGGCTAATTTGAATGCTATTGTATACGGAGTATGTTATTCATAATATCCCTCTTAGGGGATAATATGAATGCTCTATCTTATTGGATAAATAATTATTATTTTATTATTGTTATATTGAAAATATAGTAAATTTTATTGATGTTATATTAAGCAAAGAAGTTAATAAGTATATAATAAAACAACAAAGTAACAACTAATTGCATTGGTAGAGTGAATGAAGATAAAAAATCCAGCAAGGAGTGGTGGGGTTCGAAACCCCCTAGCCTAATTTGGGAAACAAGTAATAGTTGATACCAACGAATAAAAAAATCATGGATGACAAGGCAAAAAACACCCCTATTTGGGAAATAAGTTTAAAATTACCCTAGTTTGGGAAATAATATTTGAAAGTACTCCTCCTTAGGAAAAAACTTTGAATTACTTTATACAGTTATGGTATGTTTTTCTCCACAATGTCAAGCAGACTGTCTAGCTGTTAACATTATGGTTGACATTGTAGAGAAAAACTTACCAAAATTTTATAAAATCATATAAATAAGGAGAGTGATAATTTATTTGATAATATTTATGTGGTTGTCTCTCATGTCACATGTACACCGTGCACATTGTAGCATTGGTGATGCTCTAATAGATTAACTATTTTAAGGTCGATCTAGCCCCAACCCCTTGGTCGATGCAAGACCCCATAGATTGACTTCCCTTTGATTGATGCACTCTCGCAACTTGAAGCCCCACATAGATCGACCTCTGAATGTCAACACCAAAACCTTGATCTGGTCAACTTCCTCTTTTTCATCGACTTCCAGAAGGTTGAAGTTAGAACCTTAGTTGACTTCCCCTTGATCGACTTCTCCTTCTTACTTAGCATTTTGT